GTAGACTTCTACTATTTGCACATCTTAAATCATTTATTAATTATTTGTTAATGTTTTTGCAGTACCCAATCTAAAGTGGAAACTATTCATCAATTGTAAATTATTATAAACATTTACAAATCATTAGTACCTTTATGAGCAGTCATTTTGATAGCTAAAAGTGTCCTAAATGACCAGAATTCACCCTATTTTCACATCTTTACAAATCATTTATTGATCATTTGTTCAAAATTGTTGCAGTACCGAATCTAAAGTTGAGACTATTTGTCATTTGTAAATGTTTTTAAAAGCACTGGACTTTATCTACTGTAATAACGTTTGTGTACACAAACTGCACGTGCTCAGTACGATTCTCTCTCTCTGCTTGTGAAAAAGGAGCACAATCATTTCACCTCAGCAGAAGTTTTTAACAAAATACTGATTTTGAGGTATGAAAGTTACTTTTGGATGTACAGTATTTTTCTTCTGCTGTCTAAAGTCTAGATGGCTGTGAATTTAAACTTTCGTACATTTTATCCCTAGGTTATTGATAAAAAATTAACAATTGAGTTATTCTGTTAATATGTCTGTCTTGTACCATTTCACTAAAGTTTGGTTAAAGACTGTTCTTGACTCATCAGCTGATTAATGTATTTGAGTAAAATATACTGTATATAAATAATTCAAATCTAGTTCCCACTAGAATAGTTGCTTAGTCTTCAACTTTTTGAATGCATATGCCTGACATCTAAAAGAATTAGATCCATATTTATGTAACATTATTAGATACTACAGCAGTAAAGTGATTACTTTGAGGTAAGATTTTATTTGAGATACAGTAGCTTAATATGACTTATTTTTTAGTCTTTCAATTATAATTGCCCCCGAGCCACATGGCCCAGTGTAAGCACCTTGTTTGTCTGTGTTAATATACTTTTCTGTTAGAAAATGAACATATTTAAATGTAAAACTACATTTAAAAATGATTAGTGTTACACCTTAAACAATGTGTTGCTTTTAAATCTTTTAAAAAAATGAAATGAATATTATATCCACATGATTTCATTGAGTTATTCTGTTAATACTTCTATCTTGTACCATTTCATTCAATTTTGTTTAAAGACTTGACTCATCAGCTGATTCATGTATTTGAGTAAAATATATTTAAAATATATTTAAATTTTATATATATACATATACAGTATATATATATATATATATATATATATATATATTGTTTATTCGCGAAAGATGTCGTAATGAGGGATAATGCATTGGTACTTTGAGTGTGATGTCAGTCTTATGTCATGATTTGTAATGT